TAATTAAATATGCCTCCGCCCATTTATAAATTGTAAATTTCGACATACTAAAATGCTGTTTTCTTACCATCAGAATTCTGTCAAATCTTCCCCCCGAAAGTCCAGGAAATGGCATTTCAGAGACTCTAAATTTTAAAATTTCCTCGGGCCTTTGGCCCTCGCTTTCAGCTCCCCAATCAAAAAGAGCTTCCTATGGCACTGTAACCCTAACCCTACTCCTAACCCTATACTCCTAACCGATTTTACTCGTCAACGGGGAAGCTCTGCTAGACATGTCCCGATTGTGCTCGACAACTTTTGAGCAACTTTTTGCGTTTGGAGCAACTTTTTTCGGCTCGAGCAACTTGAAGCAACTTCTTCCTTTTTGAGCAACTTTTTACTACACTCTTAGTAGTGAAAAATGGTATGACCCCCAGCTTTAGCCTCTTCGGCGCTCTGCATGCGCTTAATGGTTAACCAAAAAATCTGACAATGTCTCTGGTTAACCCATTGCACCCCAGTACTTATTTTTGTACTTGTTTTAACGCCAGATGATTTTACTCGTCGACAGAAACTCTGCAGCTTAATGGGTTAAATAGGCATGCATATTAATTGTTGAAAGCACAAATAAATGAAAGATCTGATGCCTTTTACAACAAGTTTAATTAAAGAGCTCATTTCTATACAGTACTGTACATTTATTCTATTGTCGGTGGTGGTTTGGGGGGGGGTTATTATTTTTTAGAATTCATGTGAAGGGGGTCATTGAATTTTTTTGTGATGCAGGGGGTGGGGCAGGACATTTTGTTTAGTTGTTAATTGAATTTTGCCAGCCCACCCCCGGTCATAAATAATGAATGGTCCCTAACCTTATAAACAGTGACACAATTACTGCAATTTTTTTATTTTTATCATTCACCACACTTCAAATTCTACAGTACTGCAGTATCACATGTATTGAGGGACTTGACATCGACGCATTCGTCTTCTCAGTGTCACTGAAGAGCAAGATAGGGTGGTCTCTTTGGAGTATCTTTGCTTGGAAAAACTAAACTAGAATTTCGTCCTAAAATGCCATTTCATGCTTTTTTCCACGAGCAAATTATTTCAGCTATGGTTTATAGGTTTCTGGCGATGTTTAAATTTCATTCCCCGAATTCCTACCGAATCAACTGACTCGGTTGACTCATAGCTAGATACGGGCCTGCAGATGATGGTCAAATTCAGAAATGTTAACTACTTAACATCATTTTCTCACTTTGATATAATTGCTGGCTGACCACCTACTGCATGGAGGTAGATCTTAGGGACATTGCAATGGGGGGGGGGACAAAATTGCCGACTGAAGGGGACAGTAAGAGGACTGGGGGGACATGTCCCCCCCAGTCTATATGTTGAAAGAGGCCCTGAGTTAGTTAAATTCAGCTAAAACACCTGGCATCGTCAAGTGCTTAAAAAGATACTCTCTTTTAGTCTCGCAATCTAAGCCAAGTCACATTTTTACTCAGTGATTTTGCCGTTATTTGACCTTGTTTATTAGGACAGTTTAGCCGCAGACCTTTTTCTATGATATTTATGGGCCCTGCTTGTCGTTATTGACCTTATATGTAGTTTGTGGTGTGTTACACGAGTTTGATGCAATTTTAGTAGATCTGGCAAAGTGAAATTAATAAATAAAAAGAAATTAGTTTGAATAAACAGAGGATATTTATAAACAGGGGCATCAGAAATAAAGTTATTTTTTCTTAAAAACTGAGAAATCGCGACGCGTTGCCGACTTACTGGCAACTGACCGAACATTTCCATACGCCAGAATGACAATTATATGTACAAAACAATCACGATCAGCCAAGTTACCAAGGTTTCCCTTAGTCACTTTTGGCTTGTGCCAATTAGTTTATGTATTGTGTAATATAATTTACTGATTATATATACATTTACATGCGATACTCATGTATAACATGAATCATTAATAGCGTCGTCACCTTAGCGTAATTAAAATCTTATATGAATATATTAATTACGAGACGCAAATAAATTGTAGACTGTATTGTAAAGGAGATATTTTAAACATGAGCATTCATCGCACTACGATCACAACAACACTCTGAAAGCGCCCAAAGATAAGTTATAACAAGAAAAACGTGCTCAGACTCATGCAGTTATTGACAAAAACGTGTTCAAAAAGATGTTTATAAATCTTGATGAGCGAACTGATATAGCAGGTTGCTGTTGTTTGACTTTACGGACCGATCAAATTAAATGTATCTATAATGACTGAAGCTAAGTTAATGAAGTGATTTTTCATATTGTTATCGATCTTAGAAAGAGAAAATTTCAACATGATTTCTTATATTGCCGAAGTCGACTGTGAATGTTGACGTACTCGAGTAGCTTTCGGGTCTCCCGCGCAGTCTGCTGCTCTGATCTATTACTACTCTGACCTATTACATTTAAATCTTGGAAATTCCACGATTTGGGAAAATTTTCAGTTGACCGTAAAATTTCCAAAATTTAAAAATCATCAGCTTAGCCAGAAAATTTAAAACTATATGATTGATTATGGTGATTTAGCCATGATAATTCATTATATAGCCTATGTCATTGATCGTATATTAATATAAAAATAAAATGAAAAACCGGCCGGGCATAAATTGTAATTTTTTCGTCTCTATACTACTAGTGTTCTAACTTACCCCTTCCTCTAGCTTACATGCATGTTCAGATGTTCTATGCTTACGGAAGTATGCTTTGATCACAGTTTAACCGACTATAACTTATATAAGCCTTTTGCAAAGACAAATCCTACACCGTAGGCACAATTTTTGTCCCCTTAATTCCTAAAGTTTGGTGACGGATCCAAGAATTTGTAACCATTCACTGTAACATATTCTCCCTTTCATTAATAATGGTAAAATAACTATAATCAACTAAACTATTGCATGTGCACCTTTTTACTGAAAACTCAAATATAGCATGGAATATTTATATCATTATCATCATATATCATGTTATGAATTGAATTGAAAAACCTTCATTTGACAGGGTAATTCTGAAGTTTTCAAGTGAGGCTCTACATTATGAAAGTAATTATATAAATTAGAATATGAAACGGTATATACGTAAAAAGTTATCTCAAATGTAAAAATCGTGAACATATTGGAATCAGTTCCTTTTAATTATGCGTTCCTATTATAAATAACACAGCCAAAACCGGTACGTATATCGAAGGATTTCTTTGCTGATTTTGTTCACACCTTGGCTTAGGAGGATGCAGTGTAATTTGATTGCCGAGTACTACTTGTTTTGTCTTTATTATATATCAAAAACAAAGTAATCGTAACTGAAAATTGTGGTGTTTTACGATCAATAAATCTTTTAACTAAATCTGTAAACATGTTCTTGGCGTCTAAGTTGATAAGTTCAATTCTCCTTCCTTCGGCTTCGACTTTGTTCTCGAATCTCGTAGTGTATCGATCAGCAAATGAGAGATGAAATGTAAATTTTTCTTGACCAAAGGTTTAAATCAAGGCTTTCATTGTCTTTTATTTCAAAAATCTAAATAAGAATAGATTATGCCGAAAGGCACATTTAATATTCAAATGTTCAACCAAACTGTTTGATATGTTGAAGTAGTTTGAATATTTTGATGAGCGACATGCACTGATCGCGTCAGATTCCCCTTCAGCCTGATTTTAATTGACAATGCAGGGAGGCTAAAAATACACAAAGAAAAAGACTGCAGGGGACTAGTGTTATAACATTGTTTCAAAAAACTCAAAAATTGCACAAATTCGGCCTATACCGAAGGACTGCGTAACACAAGCCATTTCTAAACTCTAAAGACTAAAGTTAACAAACCCATATCCCTTCGATTGAATCGTAGCTATGAAACGGATCGAAGCCTGATGTATGTATAGACTTAAGTGGACTATAAATGAAACTCGTTGCTCCTTAATTTTAATTGTGTTTTAATGACTTCAAATTTCGCTCCCCGTCCCCGCTGAGTTTATTGCACAAACAACTATATGAACGCTCACTTTTTGCAGAAATTAGTTCGCTATATAAAAAATTAGATTAATCAAGGCTTATAGTCTTAGCCGGCCGACGACGGAAGATCTCATATTGTAGGAGTATCTCACTGACTTGATTATTTGTAGGCTATATCTCGTTTGGTAAACTCTGTCTCGGGTAAATCTGCATAACTGTGACAGGCTGATAAATTGATTCATTCATTTGTGAGCTAATTGAAAATCGATATTTCAATTCATTAACAGTGTGTAAAGTTTGTATCGGATATATATAAATCGACAAACAGCGCTAGAGAGGCTTGTTTAGTGTATACATATAAATGGGGGAGCACCGCCATGCAGCTGCCTCTTTGAATTATCATTTTATAAATACGAACAAATTTTGAAGATTATTAAAATGTTGTAGGGAAGTTTGATGTCTGTTTTAATACATGCCTGCAGGAAAGTAAATACACACAAATAACTATGTACAGAGTCGAAATTAAAATAAAATTTTTCGCTTGGTTATAAGATTTCAAAATCTTGAACTTCGATGTTTCAATTTAATAAATCGTGAACTGATGTAATATACAATCAAGGCCATTCACTTATCCTGCTTTTGTGAAGAAAATCACGTAAAGTATATCATTAAAGCGTTTCGTTTTATCAGCCTTAGACAATGGCAAATGGATTGGTTATTTGTTGAGCGGTCTCGTTTCCGTGGTCTCAAGTTGCGTGCTGATTGGCTGACGAGTTCCACCCGTCTCCAATAAAAAGAGCATTGCGTATGGACCGGGTTAGTTCACCAGTTTAAGTATACCCAAAGACCAAACAAGTACGCTATACCGAAAGGAAACGTTATCGGATAAAAATGAATTGCACAACGACCTTTTTTAAAGAAACAACTCTAAGTGGACCATTTATGGAAGATTTAACAATTGTAAAAGACGCAGAAAACGCAAATCCGATAGCGGGACACACGAACCGGTCGTTCAGAGACATGCCGCGAACATGAGGGAGAGGAAACGTATGCAAAGCATCAACGAAGCATTCGAAGGACTTCGACATCATATTCCTACATTACCGTACGAAAAAAGACTCTCAAAAGTAGACACTTTACGTTTAGCTATTGGTTATATTGGATTCCTAACAGAGATTATAAACTCCGATGTTCGACACAACGAGAACCTCTGCAGCCGTCCTCGTATCGAAAAACAGAAGAAAGTTATGATCCGTCATAGAGGTCTAGGTAAGAGTTGAATGTTCAATTACTAATACCTTTTTATGTGCCTTTATATCGGAATACATTTACGTACTTAAATATTATTGAAATAAAAATTCTGTGTGTATTATGTTTTTCTTATCTTTGACTTTGTGATTTTAAGACTTAGTTTGGTCAGTTGTTATACCCCTCTGTATGTTAAGTTTAGCAGAAATTTAGTTGGCATTTCTTTGTTATACATTTGTGTCATCAGGTTATTTTACGACTGATAGATGATGTTCAATGTAATATCAGTTTAGAGCGCGGTGACGGTATAGTTTTTCTCATCAAGTAAATCACGGTTGAATAATGCGTAATGAAAAAGTATTAATTATAGTTTTCTTAATATTTCAGACGTACCAAATGAATTTGGCCTATCACCTTTAAGAGGACATTCGCTATCATGGACAGACAAATCAAAATCCAGGCAAAACACAATAATGACTGCCAAAGTATGGACACCTGAAGACCCAAGACAAAATAACACTTGTTCAGTTTCGTTTCAAATGGCGTATGAATAGTCTATATTTGCGCGGGAAACACATCAATACATCGACATCAGTAAGAAATGCTGCTATGCTGCTAGTCGAAAAGTTGCTGAAGCAAAGATTTATGATGGCTTGTCTCACAATGCATATCATAAACAAAACTTGATTCAGAAGGGAAATGATATACTAATGTATTCTAAATATGTACACGCAAAGGTGTTTTTGTAAATGTAAAACGATAGATTTTTAATAAAGCTCTTTTCACTTTTGTAAACAGTTTATATTTATTATTTTTCTTCATCTGTTTGACTGTTCTCTTACCTCTGGGCCTGGCTATTTGTGCGGTTTGCTACATGTGCTGCTATAGTTTCACCTGTCCTGTTTGCGACTACATTATAATCATTCACAGAGCAGCTTGTTATGGAAAACAGTGTCAATGACGATTGGGGGAGGATAAAAGCTCAAGAATAGCAAAAGAACAACACATTTAGCAACTTAACAAATTAACTGCAGGTTTTTCTCCAAAGCTTGTGTAACTTCGGAACGTGCAGTCGAGTGCGTGATATTTGGCGCCAGATTGCTACATTGAGCCTGCACAAAAAGCTAGCTAATAAGTAAATTAAGTTTGTACAACTGTGAATATCTCATTTTTGCTGTATTCTATTAATTTTCTGTAAGGGAAACATAGCTAGAAACTAAACAATGCTTTTACATCAACTTTATTATCAGAAATTGTTCTCATCACTGAGAGTGTAAACGGAAGATAAAAATATAAGCACAGGCACCCATGTGTTACTTCAAGGTCTTGAAAACAATCGTAAGGTCAGCCCATTGTCTTAAGGCATTTAACAAAAGGCAAAATTAATCAAAATTTGACTTTTTACCTTTTAGAAAAAACAAATCACCTTCAATGCATTTAACTTACAAAAACATCGCAGAGACTTTTATTGATTTGCCGCTGTTATTTTGAAGCATGAAATATAGCTTGAGGGCGACATCAACATGACAATAAGAGAGAATTAAAAAGGAAAATGGGCAGCAGTTACTTAAGTGCAAAGAAAAAAGTTCATAGATTTTAGTAATAAAGAAATGACTAGGACATAAATGTAGATTCACTTATTCTCGGCAGCGAAATGTCAAGCAATTTTCTCACAAGTAATAAGTTAGAATTTTTTTAAGGCATGTGCTCCTCTTTGTCAATGCCATTTTCTAATTACTCAGCTTGGACTCACCTTAGAAAACCAACGAGTATTAATATTGTATATATCATGAAATTGTTCTCAAATGTTTTGCTGAGCTATATACAAACTTTCATATTGTTTATATTATATATAGGTGTTTATCTCTCAGTTCAACTCGTGTGCTTCAATGCGTTGCTTAGGTTTGTAACCCCGAACACAACGTGGCATGAATGGGTAGGTTTTCATTGAGCACATACAGCCACGCCGTTCAAGGCATTAGCTTTCCTTTGTTTGGGCAAATTCAAATAGACTTAGCAGATGTTCTAGCCACATAAAATAAATTTTGAATGATAATGAGCTTAAACATGTGACAAACTTAAGAAATCTTGGCAAATTCGGCGAATTTTTCGCAGCCAAACGCAGTTTTTTGCACTCGAATCCGTTGGAATTTGAGGTATTTCCATAATTGGGACCCCCAAAATCGAGCTGTTTTCCCAACTCGAGCAAGGATATTCGTGGCAGCGTTGTACGGCAAACAGTTTAAAGTTAATTAAGGTTTAAGTTGGATGCATTGTCTCTTTGCAATGTCAATAGCATTGATGTATCCTTTCAATGCTTCTTTCAATGTTTAGTAAACCCCAAGAGAAACGCCCAATTGTGATCACCTTGGTTCTTTCATTTATACACGTGCTTTTTACATCGAGGATTATTAATTAATCTCTCCGTGTGGAGACACGAACCGAAAAAACAAATTAATAGAATGAAAAAATGCAGTTACCTCAACAACAGTCCATAAGAGTCCTCTTCACTTCGTCTTCATTTAGACAAAGTACTTGCCATTTGACTTAATGAATTATTCAAGTGTGGAACAAATTAGAGAGACGATAGTGAAAAAATTTGAAAACAGTTTACTGTTGGATAAATAAACACGCTGAGATTTCGCAAATCAAAGTTGCGTGCTACAGATCAAAGAAAAAAGAACAATCGCACAATGCATCTGCGCATGCGTCCAATTAGCACCATTATCACCGAAATAGCCCTTCCAAAACCTTCTAACAATAAAGACAGCTGCCCTTAGTTGGTAAATTTAATCGTTTATGCCACTGGTTATTGCTTAATGACTGTTAAAATAGTTTAATTGTTATTAGGCCAGGTTTTACCCAGGTTCCTACCTAACAACCACATTCAATCCTCAAATCTGTCCCAATATTAATCGACAACAAAGCTATTGTATGCACGTTAATAATTACAAAAGTCTAGCTAGTTCCATAAAACAAAATCACAGCTTTGCATCTGTGCTTCGCGGTTTTACGCAATATTTATAAAGAACAAGATTAGTTTTAATTCAATTATACGTATTGTTCCATTCAGACGTCCCATCCTCCACAATGACAAAACCAGGCAATTTTTTTAAATTTTAGAAGAACGAGTTTTAACATTTTGAGTAAAGTGCTTTATATGTTTTTTATAGTACTTTAAAAGGAAATGATTTCGAGAAGTTAGCTCATTTTATGACCACGTGCATAAAGAGTACATCCTTCCGCATCACCCATCATGATCAATAAAACGTCTAAAGGCGGGAAATTTAAATATTTTCCCTTCAAAGCATTCAAAAGAGCTAGTTGTAAAACATTTAACATATAATACAGAATATTAGAATTCTTGAAATTTGTCTTGGAAAACATTTACTTTAGTAACGAAGTAAATGTTTCAGTTGTATCTGTTTTCTCGTTGGCTCAAAAATTATTTGTTTAAATTTCGAACAATTCTTATTGGGAATTTTGTAGACAACTTCACCCGACTATTTATAATTTAATTATATCAATACATTATATAATAATAGTTTAATATAATGCCAGATTTTCTTAATTAACTTGCTCAAAGTAAAATCTACTGATAAATATACTGTACTGATAATTGTACTGATAAATCAGTTCCTATGCATTTACAAACTGATGTCGAAGGCAGGATTATTGTTCAGAGAATGACGAGATCAAGAATATAACAAGTTTTATGCAAATCCTGGTACATGCTGGTACATGCACATACACTAACAATGCCATTGTAACATTACGAGGTTGGGAAGACCAACTGTCCTGGAGAAGAGTAGTGGAGGCTGAAGGAAGGGTTAAAATGGGAGCTTTCCAAATGTGATTTGGACCAACAGGAATAAAATTTATACCAGTAATTTAGTTGTTAAGAATGTTGTCTGGGAAAAAGAAATTATTATCATGCACCCTCCCCGACCATGATTAAAATAACAGGATTGACCTAGCCAACCTGCCGTTAACAACAGGCAGAGTGAAGGATTATTAAATAAAATGCTAAATGAAAAATTAGCTGTAACACTCACGAGATACTGAAAAAAGGCCCTTCACTAAGAACTGTCTTTCAACTGTAGGAAAAAAGAGCTTTCACTCCAAAGTTCAACAGTGATAGTTTACCTTTTTAACCGTTTTCTACTAAAAAAACTGCAATGCACAAAACACGGTCCACAGTTATTCTTTTTATGATCATTGACCTGTCTGACAATCGGTTCAATAGTGTAGACTGCAATTATTTCAAGTACAAGTATTTCAGTCTTTTGCATGCAAGAGGAAACTTATGTAATCCTTTTTCAACAAAGCAAAATGTATTCTCCTATAAAAAGAAAAAATAATTGTAATTATTTATTCCAACGGGATTAGCTTGAATTCCCCCCCCCCCCTCTTCCATTACAGAGGGTCCTGAAGGGGTTTATGGGAACTAGGATTTGCCAATTTTTGGACTGGGAAAATGAGATTTGGGTTACTGGGACTGGGAATGACAGACACAAAAATGGTAATGGGAAACCCAAATACCAGTATAAAGACAGTTGTAGTTGGACATTTCAGTGATTGCTATAGAGCAATTTCTGACAGAGAATTTGTCTTAAAAAAGTCCAGGAAAATAAATTTAACCGACGTATGTCCGCCACTGTCCTTTTTCTCTGCAAAACTGGTTCTAAACAGGGCAATTGAACACAGAATTGTGTTAAAAGTCATCACATAGATGAACCACCTGCTCTGGAATTTTCTTTCAATTTCACAGTGGGACTGGGATTTCGTCTAAAAAAGTGCTGGGAAATGGAATTTAGAGAAAAATTGGGCTGGGAAATGGGATCTAGACCCCCCTTCAGGACCCTCATTACACGACATGTATTAAATATATTTTATAGATTGAGTTGTCCACTTGTCCATTTCCTACATGAAATGAACACATGCACAAGCACAAGCACAAGCACAAGCACAAGCACAAGCACAAGCACAAGCACAAGCACAAGCACAAGCACAAGCACAAGCACAAGCACAAGCACAAGCACAAGCAAGGCACTAGCATGCAAGGAATCTGAGCGAATAATCCGAATATACTTGTTAAAGCAACTGAAGAGGTCTCAACCATAATTATCTGAAAGTAGCATTACTAAAATCTTCACTTGAATATGATAATAGTCAACTCTCAAGATCTTTTATCACGAACTTCTGTGACATGAGAGAGGATTCTCGAAAGAGCGTGGCCAGTCATGGCTCAATCTACCATAAGAAAGCTGCGAGTTGATAGGGATGCAACTACCTGAAAAAATGCAGTACAAGCATGACCTTTTTGTAAGGGAAATAAAGAAGTTTTTCACCGAGTAAAAATGGTCTATAAAATAATCTGAACATGCACAATAGACTCCGTTCACTCGCGTCCCCCCCCCCTCCGACACCACTCACCCCACCCCCACACACCTCGCCACTTTCAAACACACTCCTCGTTAATTGCATCTTCAATTTGAATGGATCATTTCAACAGGGGTGTTCGATATACGGCCGACGGTAGCAATATTTTCCTTGAGCAACTGGACTGGACAAGTATTATGTTTAAGTATCAGTCAAACTCAGTCAACACTGTTCTTTATTTCAGTCAAAAGGATGATATTTTAACCTGGCAAAGATGATAGTTGATAGTTGATACAGTTATCCATTCTAACGTGATAGCGAACTCTTTATAACCAGTACACTGCATTTTGAACTGTTTGTGTCAACGTTTGTGTGAAGGTTCGGGTCTCCCAGGGAGGGAGGGAGGGGGGGGGGATCTGTATTCCCATTTTTCGTTTGGTCCCCACAAAACTTTCACCAAGTTCTCTTGTTTCCTACTAGTTGTTGTGTAATCCTCAAACTTTATCCTAAACCTATAGTGGCCTAATTCTCACCCTAAACCTGATCGTAACATACTCTTTACACCTGACTCCTATGATCCTAGCCATTGACTCAACCCGAATAATAGAAAACGCCTAACCCTAACTGCAACCTCCAAAATGTTTGGCCTGGTAGTCACCCATCCCTCCACTTGATCAAGTTTCTATTCTAAACTGAATATTTATATTGATTTACATCAGAACGATATTATTGACAAAAGCATATAGTATCTTTCTCAGGAAGTAAGCAAAACAAAGAATCGAAATAGCATTCAAAGTAAACAATATCGTTTCATTCAAGTAGTGTGAGTATACAGCTGGCATGAGTCAGCGAGCGTGAGAATTTCGCACGTGTGTTTCGGACGGCCGTTTCCCAAAATCTGAAGTCGAATAAACGCCATTAATTGTCTGAACAAAGAAAGTTGATTCCAAGTAAACAGATAACAGACACTTTGATTGAATATGGATTTAAGGTTTTGTGATCTTTTGTATTAAAAGGCTTACTAGATATGTAAATTTGCGAATATTAGGCATCGTTCAGTATAAAATTTCATCCATACAATTTCATGAATAAAAAATCAAATTGATTTTTCAGTGAAGTGAAATGTATTTTAATAATGGTGAACTAAAGGTAAAATTTATAGCCTTAAGGTCGAATGTACTATCAAAAGCTATCTCATGTAAATTATAGTTATATCAAGTTTAATTAATTAATAAGCCTTTTTCATATAATGACGTCAAACGCAGAAAAACAATTTTATATGCGATGCCCCATCGGGGGCAATTTTTTATGACAATTCGTGATGTAAGTTGGTGCCGAGCCAATCGAATTTCGTGTAATTATAACATCATTCGTATTGCGAATCTTCGTTGAAAATTGTCCCGTGGAGCATCGCATTAGCCATTAGGTGTTTTTTCGCGTTTGACATTGAAAACATCATCGGAAGGTATAATTAATTCCATAATTAATTTGAGAAATGAAAACTGCGTACGAAATTACATAATTATACGAGAAGGCGTTTAGTAATTTGAAAACCGACCAATGTTTTTTAAAACCCTTATAGGTGTTTTTAATTACTATACTGAAACGATATCACTTGAGTGATAATATATCGCTTCTGGAACGAAATAAATCTAACTTGTCGTCTGTTGTTAAGACAACGAGTACGGTGCTGATTTTCTTTGTGTTTTTAGTGAAAATAAATTTAGCTTTAAATAAATGAAATAAAAAATAAATGAAATTAAAAAAATAATTGAACATATAAACAGCAAAGATGTGATTCATTTAAGCTTTAAAGAGTATTTTGTTCGTAGTTGCTATTGACAATAATATTGAAAATTAATATTCTCTCAAACCACAGCATTCTAACTGGGTATTGGAATGGTGGCCATCTTGAATACTTAATAATCTATAATTAATCTTATCATGGCTAAGAATGCTTACCATGCATCAGTTAGGTCTTTCGTCGCGTTGAGATTGCTTTTAAAGTCGATTTAAAGTAGTTTCTGGCAATTTTTGCAGAGATTTCAGATGCGATTTTCTTCTTCTGATGGATGTGAATGAGTGGATAAGTTATGAATGTTCAGATGAGGGAACTTATGATCAGAAAATTCGTAACTCATCTGAGTAC